AAAAAGCCGACACGGACAGCAAAAAAGCCGACACGGACAGCAAAAAAGCCGACACGGAGAGCAAAAAAACCGACACGGACAGTAAAAAAGACGGCAAAAAAGCAAAGAACGGCAAAAAAGGCGGCCACGATGGCAGTGTTGCTGCCGCTGTCCTCTCCAGTCTGCTTCTTCTCGCCACGGTCACCGCTGCGGCGGCGGTAGTGCCGCTTTGAGCAGCAGCCGCTGCGGCCGGGCTCAAGCACCGCGCAGCAGGGCAGTACTGCCGCTCCGCTTGCTACGGAGCAGGTGTCTGTGATGTTTAATGTTGTTTTACTGCAAGATACCCCCACCGCTGGTCTTCTAGCAGGGGGCGATTAGCATACGCGTCTCCTGATACACGGCGCCACGCAAGGTGGGAAGGAAAAGCGGGCCTTGTGTGTGGCATTCGTTGGGCGCGAGCAAAATAAAAAAAAAAGAAGAGAAAAACGTTGGGGTATGTTGTCTCTGCCCTCCTTTATTTTATTTTTGTTCTAAACCGCATTTGGAAAATAGTGTTTTTTTTTGGTTATACACACTCCTTCTGGAATATGTAGAGAAAACGAAAACGGAGACCTACGTGGATATCTTTGTTTTTAATTTCATTGTTTCTTTTTTGTTTTATTCTATTTCGGTGTGTGTTTTTTTTTCCCGTTCAAGTCTCAAATGGCGTGTGGTGGAAGGAGCAAGAAGGGCCGCCCGTTGGCTCGCACGCCTTTGGCGGTGCACTGAGCCCCGCCCGCCCCCTTGTCTTTTGCGCTGGCTGTGCGCAGCGGGTCTGCATTTGTTTAAACTTTGTGCGGCGCAAGCGTCTCAGCGGAGGATGAATTTATTTTCGTAGGAACTTATAGAAATCGCCTGTCACGCGATGGGGGTGAATAAAAGTAAAAGATGTTGTTTTTTTTGTGGGTTATCCCGCTTTGTTTTTTTCTTGTTTGACGGGGTTTTGTTTCCAAAGGTCCGGCGTTGGACGGCAGCGAGTGCAGTTTTTTTGTTTTTGTTTTTTGCCCCGCCCCTCCCCTGCCCCCCCGTTAATCTTCACGCGGGGGAGTCCGGCGGCGGCAGTGCCCCAAACGCTGCCAGTTTGTCTGGCCAGCGAGTCCGGCGATCGGTAGACGTCTTTTGAATGCACTTCCATGACGGGTGTGTGGGTGGCGGGTGAAGCTGCTCGTGCGCGGGTGGCGGTGGGGCGCACGCGGGGCCGAGCTGTGATCTTCTGTTGTTTTTATTTCACCCTGCAGGCAGAAGGAAGGAGGCCGAGCCCGGGCAACGCACTCGCCGTTCTTTTTATGCAGCGGCCTTTGGCCAGGGGGTGGGGAGGCCGACACGGAGCGTGAGCGCGGCGGCAGGCCCACAGCCGCTGCGATGAGACGCTCGGTGGTGGCGTTTCAGTGCCTTCTCGCGCCTGCTATTTTTTGCTGCCTCGCGCGGGCGGGGCGCGTGGTGGGGACGCCGGCGGGCAGCTCCGCGTGGGGTCCGAGCCCCCCCGCCGCACGGTGAGGAGCCGGGCGCCCGGGCGGAGGGGCCCGGGTGTCCCCCCAGCGACAGCCGCCGACCGCTCGAAGCAGAGATGCGCACATGCAAAGTGTCCACTTGGCCCGTGCTCCTGCGTCCGCGGCGCCCACCGGCGGCGATCCAAGACGCGCCAGCCAAAAACGTTTGGGGTCGCCGGCGAGCGGCGATGCCCCCGCGCAGCCCCTCCTCCCCCGCTGGCGGAGAAATGGGGAGGAGGGACTTCCACGTGGGACGGCGGCGCAACGACCCGCCAGCGGTGAGATGGAAGCTCCGCTTGCGACGCACAAGGCAGCGCGCGTTGGTTGAGACCTTCTGCTCTCATTTTTAGGACCCTCGGCGGTGCTGCCGGCCAGCCCGTCGCGGCGCCGGGGTCACGCGGCGTTGACCAGTCGCGCCCTGCCGGGGCGCGTGTTGCTGTGCGACCCGTGCCATGTGACTGCCGGACGGCGGCGGGGAGGAGGCCCCCGGCCCGTGCTTGCGGGGCTGCGGTGGAAAGCCGCGGGACTTCGCCAAACGTCAGGTGAAGCTTCTAATAGACGCGTGGCGTGGACAAGAGGCGGCGCGGAAGGCTTCCGAGGAGCGACAGAGCAAGGCAGTCGTGGACGCGGTCCGCGTGGAAGTCGTCCGGGCCTATGAAGAGCCGCATGTGCCGTACAGGAAGGGCCCCTTCGTCGCGCTCGCTCCCACGACGCAGCGCCTGCGGTCGTCCACTAATAAAGCGGCACCGACGTCAGTCAGCGGCTCTGGCAGCACCTCCGCCAGTGGCTCGGTGCTCTCCTCCGCGCGGCCAGTTGAGTCCTGCTCTGAGTTCTCCATCGCCTCGGCGGTTGCGCACGCGGACGAACTCGAGGATCAATGGAAGCTTGATGGGGCGAGACAACAGCAGCGATAACAGACATAGAATGGGCAGGGGAAGAGGAGGGAACGCGGGGCTG